GTGGCAATTTAACTGAAGAAGGGGTGCCAGTTCGATCCAAAATTTTAGCCCTTGGCAAATAAACCAGATGGATAAATGTGTGTGTCTTTATTTTCTTTGACTAAAAACTGTCCCAGTTGTCTCCCGAACATCTCCTAGACATCTCACAGGCACTTCAACTCAACATTCCTCCAACTGAATTCATTATTTCCCCCACAAACATGTCCTCTCCCCACTCATCATCTCAGGGGGCACCAGCTCAGCTACTCAAGTTAGAATTCTTGGAGTTGAGCACCTTTGGCTTCCGTTTCTTCCTCATCAAGCTAATCAATCACTAAGTATTGTTGATTATATATTTTTAAATATATTTCTTTAAAAAACATTTTTTTTTTTTTAGTTTTTGGCTGCGCTGCATGCGGATTCTAGTTCCCCGGGGGACCAGGGATCGAACCTGTGCCCCCTATATGGGAAGTGCGGAGTCTTAACCACTGGACCACCAGGGAAGTCCCTTAAATATATTTCTATTTGTCCATCCCTACAGGCACTACCTTAGTCCTTCAGTATATTAGCCTCCTAATTGTCTCCAAGCCACTCCCCTGCTTTCCCCAATATATAATATACACAGCAGCCAGGGAGCCCTTTCCACAGGGTGAATCTGAGTTGGTGATTCCTCTGAGAAAACACTTTGGTGGCTCCTTTCTGCACCTAGACCAAAACTGACACTCAACTCTTGAGCATGGCATATAAGGACCTTCATATCTGGCCACTGCTTCCTTCTCCAGCCCTGTCTTCTGCCCCACCCCGCCTTGTGTTTTCCACAACTCTGTGGGTCTGGAGTAGCTCCAACTCATTTAAAATCTACACATCACCTCATCCTGAAGGCTTCGCCTGTCCTTCCACAGCCCAGGCATGCCCCCACTATAGCGCTCACCTCTTGTACTGTAACTGTCTATATGAGGGGTTGGTACGGAGTAGCAGTTAAGGAACAGGGGCTTGAAAGTCCTGCTGTTTGGGTCCTGGTGCCAAACCCAACACTAGGTTTGCAATCTCTCTGAGCCTCAATTTGCTTTTTGGAAAAATGGAGATAACAGGACTACCTCAGGAGGTAGTTGTAGGACTAAAGTAGTTTATGTATGTAGAGCCAGGTCCATGTAATAAGGGTTCAATAACTATTACCTATCTTTAAGTTGTCTGCATTTGGAATTTAGATTGTAAGTTCTTTGAAGGCAGAAACTGATCTGAACTGAGCACATAGCTCAGTTTAGTGAGCCAGTTAAGAGGCCTGGGACCAAATTGCACTGGACCTCAGTTTCATCATTTAGCAAATGTGTGGATTGCTCTTCAGATCTTTAAAGTCTGTATGACTTCTAACATTCATTCATTCAGCAAGTATTTGTTGGAAATCTATTATGTGCCACACACTGTGCCAGACAGTGGGAAGGGACAGGTTGGAGGATCACAGTGGGCAGTAGAGAGAGAGACCAGCTTTGGAGCCAGACAGGCCTGACTATCTGAGTTCTTGCTCTGCCACATACAAATGGCAAAATTAAGCCACTTAAGTTAAGCCACTTAACTCCACCCGAGCCTCAGTTTACTTACAGGCAAAAGGGGATGGGTACACTTAACCTAGAGATCTGTGATGACTATTAGAAGCTATGTAGTGTTCCCTGCACAAGCTAATAAAATGTGAGTAGACTTCCTCATCCTCCATCCACCTCCTCAGGTACCTTTCAGGGAAGGAGATACACCAGTTGGTAAATACCCAACGCACAAGTCAGGCCCGGCTAGGTGTCCCTAGAGGCACAGAAATAATACAACGGGGGTGGCAACTGAATTCCCAGCTGGGGATCCAGAAAGATTCCAGGGTGGAAGGATGGGTAGGAGTTGGAAATTCCAGGTAGGGGGAAGGAAGGGAATTGTGAGGTGGAACCAAGTGCCCTGAATCTCAAAGGTTCTGAAAGGTGTCCAGGCCTGGGGGGATGATGGTGGGTTGTACTTACTCCGCAATGATCCTAGGAGCAGAGGGTGGGCATCTTCCGCGGCCTCCTCCTCGGGCGTCCCCGAAGCCGTCTTTTCCAGTCCCGCCTCCCGCGAAGCCCCAGGTGATGTAGGCGCGGGTGGCCGGTTGGCCACGCGAGGGCAGCAGCGGCCCTTTCCTGACCCCACCCCGGGTTCCTCTCAACTTTCCCGACGCCGGTCCGCCACCAGGAGCTGGAAGGTGGGGCAGAGGCAGAGTCCTCAGGGGTCCCGTTCGCCGCGCCTCGCCCCGCTGCCCACTCCTCCACAGTCCCAGCATCTCCCCCAGATCCCGGGGACTCTCGCTGGGCGACCCTCTGGGGCCGTGAGTGGGGGCCGTGGGCGGGGGCCGTGGGCGGGCGGAGCCAAGGGCCGCCCGGCCCGCCCCTCCCCGCGAGTCGCCCCTCCCCGCCGCGGCGCTGGAGGAGGGCGGGGCGGTGCCCCTCGGGTCAGTCTCTGCCTCCGGCACCGGCCGCGCAGCTGGAAGCGGCGGAGCGGAAGGTATCCCGGGTTGGGGCTCTGGGCGGCGGGGTCGTCCTGGGAACTCATCCCCAGGAGAGCACTCCCCCCGTCTCCGCCTGGCAGGAGCTCGGGGCGCCGGCCGGGGAGGGGCTTTGGTCCGAGCGCGGGCCGCCTGCCCTCCCTCGTACGCGGCGTCTGGGCGGTGCGGGGGTCGGGCCGGCTCGGCCCCTCCCTGCCCTCCTGGGCTGCAGTGAGGGGCCCCGGGAATTGCCCCGCAGGGCCTCTCGCCTCTTGGTGTCCGAGTCGGAGTCAGTTCCCTTCTCCCGGCTTCCCGGAACCTGCCCGGCCGGGCGAGGGGAGAGACGGCAACTTGGGTCTCCGCGAGGGAGCCGCAGCGCAGACGCTCTAGCTCCCAGGCCTGGCGGCCCTCTGTGAACCTGGGCTTGGGTGTGGGTCTGGGCCCGAGTCCGGGTTGAGGTGGGAATCCCCCCCTCCGGGCCGGTGGAGTGGCGGGAATAGGGGCGGGTGTGACCGCGGGGGCTGCCACTGCCTCGGGGGTCTGGATGTCGCCCTAGATGGTTTCTGGAGCCGGCCTGGAGTGGAGGTACAGGAGATTGGGAAGGATCCAGCCCGTGTGTGCGTGTGTGTGTGTGTGTGTGTGTGTGTGTGTGTGTGTGTGTGTGTGGTTTTCAAGTTGAGGAGGAGGTATCTGATTTCTTCCCTAGACCTCAGGGGTGGTGGGCAGGGTACAGCAGAACCTGGTTCATCTGGAAATCTAGAGGATGATTGAGGAGATGGCAGCTGTTTTATTCCAGGGAAGGCCCCAGAAATTCCAGGGTCATTCCAGGCCCCGTGTGGGGTTTGGTTGCCCCTCTTAGGGTCAGTGGGGCAGTTCCTCAGGGGCTGCCTCTCACAGGGAGCTGTTGTTTTCGCCATCTTGGCGTTGGGCCTGGTGGCCTGGCCTGGCCTGGGCCAACTACTCTTCTGAGCCTGAAGGGAACATCTTCTAATTGAGATGGGGGGCTCTAGGTCATTTAATGCATGCCCTTGCCCTGGAGTTCTGGCCTCTGCCCACCACCGTCTGGTGCCACCTAAACTGCCTTGCCTGGGGCGGGCATACTCATGCCTAAGCAATTGGTATTCACCCTAGTGGTGAATGTGCTCCATCCCTCCATCAATACTGCCCATCCCAGGTTGAGGCTACCCCAGCCTGTCTTCCCACAGTTGGACCAATGGAACCTGTGGGAGTAGGTGAGGGTGCTGGTCACCTGGGTGGAATTTCCAGGGGACCCCCTTTTCTTTTTTTTTAAATTAATGTATTTTATTTATTTTTGGCCACGTTGGGTCTTCTTTGCTGCACAGGGGCTTTCTCTAGTTGCGGTGAGCGGGCCCTACTCTTCGTTGCGGTGCGCGCGCGGGCTTCTCATTGCAGTGTCTTCTCCTGTTGCAGAGCACAGGGCTCTAGGGCACGTGGGCTTCAGTAATTGTGGCACGCGGGCTTCAGTAGTTGTGGCACAGGGACTCAGTAGTTGTGGCTCGCGGGCTGTAGAGCGCAGGCTCAGTAGTTGTGGCGCACGAGCTTAGTTGCTCCATGGCACGTGGGATCTTCCTGGACCACGGCTCGAACCCGTCTCCTGCATTGGCAGGCAGATTCTTAAGCACTGCGCCACTAGGGAAGCCTGAGACCCCCTTTTCTGAAGGGTGGTTTCCATTTTTGGAGGGGATCTGCTGGCAGGGTGAATGCCTTCTTGCCTGTTTTGGGGGTATCAGAGAGCCCCTGTTGTGATGGGGAGAGTGTGGCCGTGCACTCAACTCCTATAAATTCCCTCTGATTCATATCCACTTGCCCCCATCCCACTGTTGTGCATGTGTGTGTGGAGGGGAAGGAGGCCACCCGGGACCCCACTGCTGAAGAGAGCTTGCCTTGGGCTGGAGTATTCGCTCCCTAAAAGGCAGACCAAGGCAGGGCTGTGAGGTGGTGGTGGTGTGTGGGGAGTAAAGGAGTTCAGCCTAGTTTGACAGGATGTGGGACTGAGAAAAAGCCAGGTTTGGGGCAGAGATCAGGTTACCGTCCCCTTCTTTTTTAACTACTCCCTGTGTGGTTGGTGCTGGGACTGGCCCTTATTTGTCTCTTTTTTGGGGGCTCCTCCCAGCACAGGCTGCAGCCTCCGCTTCTCCCAACAGCTTCGACTTCATCTCAGGCCCAGAGCCCGCCCTCTCTTCCTCCTCGGCTGTAGGCCTGGGAACTCCAGCCGACTGGAGGTCAGCTCCTCTCCCCAGGGAAGGAGGAAGTGAGGCTCAGCTGAGGCGCGGGGAAGCTGGGAAGGTGTGATGAACTGTGCAGATGCTCTTTGGTGTGTGTTGGGGGCAGGGGACACATGGAAACCCCAGGAAGCTGACTCCTTGCCCTGAGTCACAGGGAGGGGTGGGCAGGGCCTCAGGGTGAGCTGGACAGAGTGGAGGAAGGGGCTGTTCCAGGGAGTGGGTGGAGGTGATTCCCTAGTGGATTATTCTCAGTCGCTCTGCTGTGGTAGATGTGTGGCTCCCTACAGTGTGGTCATTGTCCCCTGCCTGGGGCTGAGTGACCCAGTGTAGCTTCCAGGCCCAGTAGGAAGCAGGGGGAGGAAGGCAGGCTGCCCGAATGTGGGCTGTGGGCACTGCCTGGACTGAGCCTCCTTTGTGTGACTCGGGGCTCTGGGGACCGGGACAGGGTGGGCCAGGGAAGCCTGCTGGCTGCTGCCGCTGCCCTCTGTCTGGGTTTCCCTCCCTCTGCTCTCCTTCCCACCTCTGGGGTGATATGTAGAAAAGCAACAGACTCTAGAGTCACACGGCCCTGCTTTGAGTGCCATCCCTGCCACAACTCTGAATTCGTGTCTTAACCTCAATGAATCTCACTTTCCTAGTTTGTCAAAATGGGGAGCTCACTACCTACCTTCCAGGCTTCTGGGGACTGAGGGAGGTGATTTTTGTCCAAATGCCCACCATAGTGCCTGGCACCTAGGGGTGTGATAAATATTCTTTCCCTTACCCACCCATATGGGTAGGGACTCTTCGTTTTTCGCTGGGCAGGCATGACTTGTGCTGACTTTGGGACAGTGTGTTCCAGATTGGACCTTCACAATTATTAAACTTTAAAAAGTATCGAAATCCTGGTAACAAATACACCTGACTTGAAACCCTGATACGTAGAATAGATAAAAGCTTGCCCTTCTGTACACGTCACTGGTCCCTGAGCACCCCTCTAGGTGTCCAGGGGCCCACAGTTGGGGAGTGGATTAGATTAGAACTCATGCTTTCTGGCTCCCAAGTGGGTGGTTCTTCCACCTCCCATTTCTGTATTCTAACCCATGGGGGAGACCTGTCCCTGACCTTGAGATTAGGAATTTCAAGCTCAGTTGCCCGACCACTTGGTTCTTGGCAAGAACATGCCTGAGCAAGCCCCTTTCCCTCCCTCCTCTCCCTTCACTGGATGCCTCGGTTTCCAGGGAGGGCTTGGGGGCCCTAGAGAAGTGTTTGTGGACTTACTGGCTTTTCCCAACATCCCCACTGCCTCTTCCCTATCAGCCCCAGACATGGCTGCCATTCGAAAGAAGCTGGTGATCGTGGGGGATGGGGCCTGTGGGAAGACCTGCCTCCTCATCGTCTTCAGCAAGGATCAGTTCCCAGAAGTCTATGTCCCTACTGTCTTTGAGAACTACATCGCCGACATAGAGGTGGACGGCAAGCAGGTAAGGGCGAAGAGCCCCTTGGAACCACGCCTGCCCCCTTCACTTATGGACCTGGGATGTCCGTGCTCACCATACACCCATGTCCTTGCTTCACTCTTCCTGCTGGAACCAGTGGAAGTTAGGAAGTGAAACTGCAGTCTTAGGAAATCTGGATAACCTCCTGGTTTTTTACACGCTGGCTCTGTAATCTGGGCCCAGTCCCTTTGCCTCTGGGTTTAAGCTCCCCCAGCTGTGAAATGGAAATAATGGTAAGGCCTCCTTCGAAGGGTTTTTATGAGTATTAAATAAAATAGTGGCGCTCCCGATGGCAGCTCAAACTGCACAAAGATCAAACGCTGTTGTCTCAGGATTTAAGAAACTCACCTTAGTTTATGTTGTGTGACAATGATTAGCACTATCCCTGGCACATAGTAGGTGTTCAATAGGTAGATGTTCAGTGAACCTAAGGGACCAGGATTTCAGATAGGACCTCTGGGTGGCAGGGTGTGGGGTGTGTAACTGGGGCCCTCAGGCTAGCTAAGCACTGGCCCTGTGTGTCAGGTGGAGCTGGCTCTGTGGGACACAGCAGGGCAGGAAGACTATGATCGCCTGCGGCCTCTCTCCTACCCGGACACTGACGTCATCCTCATGTGCTTCTCCATCGACAGCCCCGACAGCCTGGGTGAGGGGGTTGGAGGGAGGGGGCTGAGAATCCCTTGGAATCAACCAACCAGAGGGAGCTCTTGCCTTGGCTCCTTTCAGCCATCTTCAGAAGCTGTGTGGGTGGGGTGCCGGGGAGCCCCGTTAGCCTCCTTTCCTGTGGTGACTCTGGCCCTCCGAGGGCTCAGGGAAGGGTGTGTACTGTGAGGGGGGTGGGGGTGGGTTGACCTGTGAAAGGGACTATCATGCTGAATAGCCTCTAAGACTGCCCTGCAGAGACAAGGGGACCCAGGGGAAGCCTTCTAGCCTAAGTGGAGGCACCAACACCTGTTGGGACGTGTCTGTGCAGAAAACATTCCTGAGAAGTGGACCCCGGAGGTGAAGCACTTCTGCCCCAACGTGCCCATCATCCTAGTGGGGAATAAGAAGGACCTGAGGCAAGATGAACATACCCGGAGAGAGCTGGCCAAGATGAAGCAGGTGGGTGCAGCCGCCAGGCTGGGAGGCCTTGGGGAGGAAGGTGCCCTCTGAGGGCTTGCAGGCTGGTGAAGGAGCCTCCCTCCTACTGACTCCCCGTGTTAGAAGTGATGGTAGCGTCCACCTCCTACCCCCCTGGCACCCCTACCCTGGTGAGGGAGAACCAGAGGGGCCCTTAGGGTCTGACCCGATATTCCATGAGACTGTCAGAGGACGGTGACTTGTCCAAGGTCATTTGGCATTTTGTCTGTTGTCCACTGTTTGGCATTGGGGCTATTAAGATGAATGAGAAAATCCTTGCCCTCAGGGAACCGGGTTCTTAGAGTAGATGTTTTGCTTGAGGTATGCAGGTGGAGCCATCAGAGTATACCTGGGGAGGTGTGTGGGCTGCTGTGGATGTGGAACGGAGGGTATTCTAAGTGGCTGGGAAAAGGCCCAGAGTGAGGGAGCTGGCTTATTTGGGGACCTGGTAAGTGGCTTTCTAGCCAGAGGACGAGTTGATTAGGGAGAGCTGCCAGGATAAGGAATCGAGACTATTCTTTGAACATAATTATGGCAGTTTTAAACTGGGGACAGATATGGTCAGAGTCAGCATGTTAGAAAAATGATTCTGGCAGCCATAGAGGATGGATTGGAAGAAAGTGAGAACAGAGGCTGGGAGGTCAGTCAGGAGATGGTAGATCCTCACTCAGGCAAGAGAAGAGTGTACCGTGGGGTATAGGGCTGATGGGGAGAATTTTGAAGGTAAATAGGAGTCTTGGGTCTCTAGCCTAGAAGCCATCCACGGTGGCCGGGGCTTGGATGCTTTGTGGGGTCAGGGCTGGAGGAGATATTTGTTCTTGTTACAAATACGGGTGAGGTGCACCTAACCAGCAGCTTCCTTTGACCACTTTCCTTCTACCTTCCCAGGAGCCTGTTCGATCTGAGGAAGGCCGGGACATGGCAAACCGGATCAGTGCCTTTGGCTACCTTGAGTGCTCAGCCAAGACCAAGGAGGGGGTGCGGGAGGTGTTTGAGATGGCCACTAGGGCTGGCCTCCAGGTCCGCAAGAATAAGCGCCGGAGGGGCTGCCCCATTCTCTGAGATCCCCAAGCTTCCCCTCCTCCCTTCACAGGGGTGCAGAAACTCCCCCTGCCCCCAACAGCCCCACCCTATTAGGGATCCCTGCTGAAGGCTCCCTTTCCCAATTCCCTCCTGCCCAGGACTGCATCGCGCTTCCCCAGCCCTGATGGTGGTGGCCGTAGGCCCCGTCTCAGCACTCTGGGAACCAGAGCACAGTCCCTCCCCCTGTTGCCTTCGTCCAGGGGTGGGGCTCTTGATCCCTTTGGCCTTCCCCAGAGGATCATCACACCAGCACTTTATACACTTCTGGCTCACAGGAGAGTATGTGGGGTAGGGGACTTGGAGGGTGTAACCCAGAGTCCCGGGCCCCTGGTGTTTCTGCTTTGGGCAGGGGCCTTGCATCTGGCTGTACTTGGTGTGGGGCATGAATAAAGGCCACAGGCTCCAACATGTGTGTGGCTTCCTGTCTTTCTCTCCTGGTCCCCGTGAGCCTGGAGTCCCATCTCTCCAGGGTGCTTGCCAGGCTGGCCCCCTGTCTGCAAAGGCAGGACTCCCGGGCAGGCAGGGTGGAGTCTTGGAGAAAAGGATGAGGTCACGCCTGGCTCTGGGCCTTGGAGGCGGGTGAGGGGAGTGGTCTGGAGCACTGGGCTAAACTTAGAAGCCTGTGGGTGGCTTCCCTGCCACCTCCCACTAGATTTCCTCCCCTGGACATGGGGGTTGGGTTCCTTTCTGGGGGTGGAGGGAGGGGTATGGCCCTGGGCTGGTGTGACAGTCCCACCCTCCCCTGTGAGGTCATCTTGGGAGTTCAGGAAGCTGGGGCCAGGCTGAAGAGACAAGGAGGCTTTTGCATAGAATAAGCTTTTTTTTTTTTTCAGTTTTACTTCCTCCCCCTTCCCCCAATTGTTAGCAGCTTGATGTTAGCAGCAGGGGAAGGGTCGGGTGGGCGGTCCTCAGAGCTCATTCCTCCACTCGGGCTCCACTTGCAGGGGCAGGCCCCCTTCACCCTCCCGCGCCTGGCAGTCGTGACTTTTGGGTCCTACAAAGAGAGAAGGCCAGCTCTGTTAGTAACTTACATCCTCCCTCAGCACTGTCCCCCAACCAAGCCCACCCTGGCCCAGCCATACCTGAGGTAGAGGGGCTGAGTTTGCTCAGACCCTGGAGTAAGTTCTGCCCCTGCTGCAGGTCCAGTTTGGCAGGGAAGGGGCACCCGGTATACCCCCCGTTTTCTTTACAGAACTCTAGGAATCTGTGGGGTACAGGGACATCCACACACACAGCTTCACAAGGCTGGCTGAGTACCAGCAGAGGCTGGAGGCCCAGCCTTGGTCCTGCACACGGGGCCTGTGCCTTGCGGCAAGTTACTTAACCTTGGCAAATGGGGATATTGTTAAGATAAACAGATTGGGGCTTCCCCGGTGGCGCAGTGGTTGAGAGTCTGCCTGCCGATGCAGGGGACAC